CAAGTCGAGGAACAAACACTGACCATGACGAGAAGCGAGATGCAGAGAATGATCACGGAGGCAGTAGCGGCCCAACTCAAACAGACGCAAGTCGAACAACCAAGGGTTGAGCGGCCCAGAATCGAGCAAGCAAGGGTTGAGTGGCCCAGAATTGAGCAAACAAGGGTTGAGCAGCCTCAAAATGAACAACCACCCCTGGAACGCGAACAGCAAGCGCAGTCGCAGGAGAGGCAGAACAGAAGAGTCGATGAAGAGGAATCCTCTGTCAGGACTATCAATCCACAGGCAAGAAACGACACCCTGGAGCAGTTATTGGCGTAGGTGCGAGATTTGCAGGCTCGGGTCGAGGGGAGGAAAACAGGAAGCTCGAGGGGACACTCTTTTTCACAGCATATTCTAGATGCCGACTTGCCTCAAGGGTTCAGGGAGCTCAACATCTGGTATGATGGGTCGACTGATCCCTCTCGACATCTAAGGAGTTTTGAAAACATGGCAGTACTACACCGTTACAACGATCTCGTTCAATGTCGAGCGTTCCTGACGACTCTGCGAGGACCAGCGCAGGATTGGTTTCATCAATTGCCCCCAGGAGCCGTCAGGGACTTTGACGGATTTAGCTCAAGTTTTCTGAACCAATTCGCAAGTGTAAAAGCCCAAGAAAAGTCTTACCTTACTCTGATAGGTATGCAACATAAAGAAGGGGAAACATTGAGGGATTATGTGGCGAGGTACACACGGGCGTGCGTCGACGTCCCCTCGGCCACTGAGGAAATCAAGTCGGGAGGACTCACTCGAGGACTACTCCCGGGATTATGCAGAAACTCCTTAGCAAAATGACCCAAGAGGACGTTCGGTGAGGTGTTAGGAAGGTGCGCCAAGTACATGAATGTCGAGGAAGCTGAAGCCGACTTTTTGCAAGCAGCTAAAGCAAAAGCTGAGTCTCGAGACGAGAAGAAGGATAAGAAACCAATCGCGACGGGAGAAATGAAAGGATTCCCGAAGTCAGAAAGGGAGGGGCGATCAAGGGGATGGAGGACAACTCAGTATACTCCCCTGTTAGCCTCGAGCGCAAGGATATTGAAGGTAATGGAGAAAGAAATTCGCGAAAATGTGGTCAGGTGGCCACGAACGAGAAAAGATGGACCGACAAAGCCCAAAAGTGATCTGTATTGTCGATTCCACAAGGATTACGGGCATAATACCGATGAATGTCGGCACCTGAAGAATGAGATCGAGAGACTAATCAAAGCAGGCCATCTAAAAGAGTTCGTTTATAAAGATCGAGATCGAACCAGTCGGCGAAGGGAAAGAAGCAAGAGTCCTCGCAAGAGAGCGAGGACACCCGACAAGGAGGAGCTCCCTCAGAAAAAGGGAATAATTCATATGATATTCGGAGGGCCGACTGATGGAGATTCAAATCGGGCCAGAAAAGCATATGCTCGAGGACACCACAGGAAAATTGAAGTGCAACAGGTCGAGGAAAACGGTCCAGTGATGAATTTTGGGCCAGCAGACATGGGAGAAGTCGAGAGACCTCACAACGATGCCCTAATGATCACAACTCAGATATCAGGCTATGAAGTGCAGAGGATCTTTGTCGACACGGGAAGTTCGGTGAATGTAATCTTTTACAATTGTCTTAAACGGATGGAACTCGACATCGAGCTTGCACCCCTGAACACCTCCCTTTTTGGGTTTAATGGCTCGGAAGTCGCACCCCTAGGAGAAACCACGCTCGCTGTCGTCCTCGGGGAAGGCGACTTGAGAACGGTAAAGATGGTGCGATTTGTTGTAGTCGACGTCGAGTCGGCTTATAACGTGATCCTAGGAAGGCCAGGCTCAACGCATTTCAGGCGGTGGTGTCGACCTACCACACGAAGCTGAAGTTCCCCGTCGGAGATAAAGTAGGGGAGGCCCGAGGAGACCAGAGACTGTCAAGAACCTGTTA